GGGTAGAGGGTGGCACAGTGTCCGCTGTCCACAAGCAGAGGACGCAAGGCCCATCGCACCAGGAGTCAACAGAGAAGAGGAGGGAGCGTAAGGCAGTCTGTTGCCCTGGGAGAAGCCCTGCTGGAAAAGTGGTTTCAAGGTGGGCTGCTAACCTCAAGGCCGCAGTTCGAAACCACCAGCCTCTTCTGAGAAAGAGCTTTCTACTCCTGTGAAGAGTTACCATCTCCAAAATCCTTACCCTGTCCTAAAGGGGCGCTGTGAGTCAGCACTGACTCGGTGGTTACAGTCAGTTTTAGAGCCCAGGTTTTTTTTTAAGTTTAAAGAGCTAAATGCTCTTTAAGTTTAAAGTTCTCAATCCAAATTTTATTTCCTTTTGGCCTAAATGGAGAAATTCATGCTTCTTTGTTTTTAATTGTTGTAATAGATTTTTTTATTTTTTAATCATTTTATTGGGGGCTCATTCAACTTATCAGAATGCGTCCATCCATGCATCCATTGTATCAAGCACATTTGTACATTTGTTGCCATCATCATTCTCAAAACATTTGCTTTCTACGTGAGCCCTTGGTATCAGCTCTTCATTTCCCCCTCCCTCCCCACTCCCCCCTGGTTATTTTTTAAATTACTCTTATAAATCATTTTATTGGGGCTCTTACAGCTCGTATAATAATCCATACAACCAGTATGTCAAGAACATTTGTACACGTCGCCACCATCCTTTTCAAATATTTTCTTTCTACCTGAGCCCTTGGCATCAGCTCCTCTTTTTCCCCTCCCTCCCCCATCCTCCCACCCCTGATAAATGATTATTATTTTCATATCTTACACCGTCTGCTGTCTCCCTTCACCCACGTTTCTGCTGTTCATCCGTCGATGCTTGAGATCGGTTCCCCCTTTCTCTCCCCACCTTCCCCCTCCCCTCATGGCATTGATACTCCCATTATTCTTCCTGAGGGGCTTATCTGACCTGTTGATGGGAGACCTAGTTAGGTGGGCTACTCCTACTGGTGGACCCCAGCTTCCTCAGGTCAGGCCACCGGAGAGCCAGGTCCTAGGGTCCTGCGCATCTGCGCGAGACCATGGCGGCACCATCCCTCAGACCTGAGATTGTCATCAGGCAATTCGCATGCACCAGCTGAGGCTGTGAGACTCGGAGGGATGGGTTACCAGTCCCACCTGAACCCACAGCGGAAAGGTTTTCTTTCCAGCCATCAGAA